CACGAGAAACTCAACGTCTATTATGTGAGAGATTTCGCACAGAGTTGCCACAAATTCCTAAAATTCCATAACCTTTCTCCGATTTCCAGACAAATTTCCATGATTTTCCCCGACTTTCAACAATATTTTGACATTTTTTGTGATTTCATACCGATTTGGGACTTATCGAATATTTTCTTGAGAGAGCATATTACTATTAACGTTGCTAACACTGTTTGCATTTAATTTTTTAAGTTGGCAGTATTCCAAAACTGCATAGGTGTGATGTACCAATGTTAAATTTCTTCAAAACCAAGAATTTTTATTTTCTAGAAAATTTTGCGAAAAATTCCCTGAATCTTTGCTGATTTTTCCTGATTATTATCATTTCTAGTTTTGTGGCAACCCTGTCACTACATGGTGTCCACGTAATTAAATGTTACAGTACGGCAATTACATTTTCTTTATTTAAAATCGGCCATCTAGAAAGATTTATTTTTACGTTTGAATATCGCGCGGTCTACCGGTACGTACTGAAGTTATGCGAGAGCAGCGACGACTGGCTTACCCATTCTTGCTTGACGTGAATCGTCGAAAAATCTAGTCTGATTTAATTGATCCGATTAGTTACGCACTTCTTACTGTGCGTCAACTTTGCACGGCGATCTACTTAGATTGATGATGCTTTTATTTTTGTCGTGGCGCTATTCCGAGAGAGACTGTTTTATCTTATTTATATCTCGGCGCAGACTAGGAGAAAGAAAACGCACGTGAGAGACTTATGAGGAGCAAGTCCTCCTATATGAAGAATAGAAACGAATATCGCTTACTTAAGCCATCGCAGTGAAATTGATTTTTTCTTGCGACGATCTTGCTTAGCGAAATTAGATTACTAAACAATGACCGATACTTATCTTTTTTTTTCTATTTCTATGATTCTATAAAGTCGTGACGTATTCGAGCGGCGTGATACTTGAGATCGATTCGAAGGATAGATAAATGCGTAATGTGTTTTACTTTTTAAAAACTCACGCTAGGATCTTACAGAAAATTACACGTAATCCTTTTCTCATCAATGACACGTCGACCGCCATAACGATGAATGTATCTGACGTTTGACGCGGAAAGAATAAAAAAGAAGGAACGATAACACAGTCAAGTCAATTTATCAAGCTGATATACAAAGAAATACAAGAGTTAGACACGAGGGTTTAAATCGCAATGTAAACACCGTATACCAATATTTCAAGTATTTCCACGTCAAATCTTAGGTTTTACTTCCCCAAGCCCGTAATTCGCGCCGTCTCGCAGGTAGCTCGGTCACGTGACCGGTAGTGTAACTAACGCGCCTCTCGACCCCGAGACTATGCGACAACGAGATGCTCGATCCCGCGGATTCCTCGCGTATCGTGCACGACCGGCATGAACAAATTCACCGCGGGAGAGGACAGCAAACTTCCTTATCGATGGATCAGTGGCCGTGCCCGGAACTGGGCTAGAGGGCCGGCGGAGAGAAATAAAGAGAGAATGAGAAGAGAGAGACGGTGTATCTTGTCTCATTGACTGCGTTCTCATCAACAGAAAAAGCAACTTTGCAACTGTCGTTCAATTTTTCGATACGATTGCTCTTGCTCTTAATTCCTCCCTGGATCCAAGTGTATAAACGAATCGTATTAAAGAATCTTACGACACTTGCGAAACTGTTTTCTTTTTTTTTTTCTGCCAAACGCAACCTTTCTCTCTCCGCTGTCGTTGCGACGACGTACCGTCGAGACGGATGGGGCACCGTGTTGTGTACGATCGCGCACAGCAGATGCGCGAAATGGCATGTGTGTGTGTACGTGTGTGGACGACAAGCGTGTAAAAACGTATATGGAGCGATTCGCGCATAGGTAGAAGGTTGACGTATATACGTACGTACGTGCGAACCCGGTAAATCGGGGCATGTAGGACTTTTACAATGCACGCCTGTAACCCTGGCGACCTGGCCCTGGCGTGGCCATAACCGCGAGGTCGGTCTGTTCACGAACGCACCGTGGTCGAGTGGTACGTAAGACCGAGTCGCGTCTCGTAGAGCGTTGTACGTCTACGAGACGGGGCTCCTCTCTCCCTCCCTCGCTCTCTCTCTTTCTCTCTTTCTCCGTCTCTCTCGCGCTTCGCCGCACGAGGTCC